AAAAGTTTGGTGGTGTGTGTGTGTGTGTGTGTGTGTGTGTGTGTGTGTGTGTGTGTGCGCTGGCACTGGCTTGCCGACCCACTGTCTCCATCTGTGGTTAACTGAGCTCTCTTTAGCAGAGAACATCTCCTCTCCCTTTTCTCCTCTTCTTCCATCAATAGAGTCTTTGTCAGTGTTGTTCTTCATCATTTATGCATTAATGCAACATGACATAAAAGGAAATAATGTCCTTAAAAATAAAAAATGTGGGCTAGTATTTTCAAAGTGATTTGAATTTAGAGTAGTGCTTGAAGCTTTTATTTGGTGGAGAGGAGTAAAATCCTGTGATGATCCTTCATAATGTAGCTGGGTGGCTGTAGTTGTTTCATCATGAGAACAATCATGAGAATAATTTAAGGGTATTGACAGATGGTCATTTTTTATGGCATACTCCTGAATCACTTCATCATCACTATGGAAACTGTGTGTGTGCTCCTTTAATTTGAGTGAACTGAGCTGAAGGTCCCACAGATTTGTTATATTAAACTGTAATCTTCAATCATCTCTAATTTATTGGATCCCCAGCTGCTTCTCTTGCTGCCCCCATCCTTTGAGTGTCTTTGCTTGTGCATGAGTTCGCATATACATATGTATGCCATATATGCATGTGTGTCCCCCAAAGCAATAAAGTCTTTCATTTTTTTATATCTCCATCTCCCATATTCCCACCCACACATAATTGAACAGCACTGCAGCCTGTGAATATTGTGTTAGAGAGACACCCGCTGGTAGGTGTAGGGAGTGCGCTTCACATGTTACCTACTGAACATAGAAGCCCTACCCATTAAGGAGCTCAGACAGGTGCTACTAATTTAGATTAATGAGTGGAGTAGAGGTGGACCTTTTCAAGGCACAGTAACAGGTCTTTGAGAGCCAGAATTCTTGCTGTTTCTCAGGTGTTCAAATACTTATGTTCAGCAGTGCAAGACAAATAAATTCTTTAAAAATCATACAATGTGATTTCCTGAATTTTTTTTTTTTTAATTCCGTCTCTCAGACTGGGAATGCAGCTACAATGTGAATTTCAGACCCCTCCATGATTTCTAAGTGGGAGAACTTGCAAAATCGCAGGGTGTTCAAATACTTCTGTTCCTCACTGTATAATGCTGATATCATGTTGTTATTTCCCCTTTTGCATCAGATAAAATTAGCATGTCTGTTTGCTACAATAATACAATATACACTCCGCCTTATATTTTAGATTTAACAAGTCCACAAGTAATCCAATAACAGAAAAAAAAAACAGACGTGCACATAGGACTCACCTATTCACACTCCTATAACCAATCTTACATAAAATTGTTGTATCACCATCATCATCAGAGCAGCATGGGACATTCTAGGCTGCCAGCAAAATGAGCATAAACACTATATTGCACAAACATTTGCTGCAAATGTTTACATTTATTCAGATTTACAACTTCACATCGCAACACCTAATATTCCACTAAAGTGGCTAAAAACCAAGCAGTTCAAATCTGACACTTAGTCCAACTTCTCAATAGCTTTCAAATGTGTCCTGACAGAGTCTCAAAGCGAATGCAAATATCTCCATCTTATCAAGCCACTGTTCTGCAACCCACCCAAGTCGACTGTTGAGTGAGTGCTGTCTTCTCACCTTGACCAGAAAGAAGGACACTCCGTAGGTTTTCAGAGACCTGGCCAGCTTCACGTAACTCACTTTGGCCTCAATCTCAGTCATGTTCTGACAGTTTTTGTGTGCCTGCAGAGACGAGAGAGGCAAGCAGAGGAGCAAATCAACTCAGTGTAGCATTAAGCAAACTCAAATAGAAGTCATCTCTTGTAACTTTGCTGCATCAAATGATTAATGGTTAATTTGCAATGATACGCGTTTTCAGTGTGTATATACAGTGACTTCATTATGTTTGAGTCCTTCACTGTTTTTGTGTCCAGTATATTTAACTGCAAACTGAAAAAAATTGACACTTTTGTCCTTCAGTCTCCACTCAGTACAGTACACCCTGGCTGCTTATACCTACAACCAGATGGGAGCAACTTAAACTCTGCAAACAAGGGATGGGATCAGCCAAGATAAACCTTCTTCAGAGATCTGGCTCTATATAATCTTGATATGTCTTCCAAAGATATACCAACAACCTTGCTGCACTCCTTAATAACGCCTTGTAGCTGATTCCTGTTTTTAAGGGTGAGCAGCCCAAATCAGCACACAAAGGACAAGGTTAAAACAACTTTATAAAAACACTGTGCACTTTAAAGCTGCATAACTTATAAAGAAAGTTCATGTGCTGATGGGTTTCTCATACAAACAGTATCATTTATTGCCAATAAGAGTGCCCAAATATACAGCTTGATCATAGATTACCAAAGGAGACATGGATAATTGATTCTTCCTAAAATCAAACACCATTTCTTTGGTTTTGGACAAATTAATGTACAGAAAAGACGACCTACACCAATCAATAAGATCAGACACTACTGGTTGTCTCCGTTCAGCAGAGACACTATAACCGAGTCATCTGCAAATTTGATAATACAATGCCTCTCATACTGACTCTGGCACATACTGTATTAGTGTACAAGACAAATGAGAGGTGAAAGAACAGACCCCCATGGTGAGATGGTGGAAGACACAAGAGCACAGAGGGAACTGTAATAGTACTGTAGAGTGGCTAGACAGGAACAACTAACTATAAGTCACATGACAGCTGCTTGGAGTCTGTCAAACAGCTTTTAAAGCACTTAAAGCATTAGGAAAAAATATTCTTTGACCAAAGGTCCAAGCAGCAGGCACTGCTCATCACCAAATTGGTGATGTGGTCAGAACAGAGGGAACGGTGAATCCATGAGCAATTTTTTCCCATCTAAAATTTAACTGACAGCATAGTGTGAAAGACGTGAAGGGGTCTGAATCCTTTCAAAAGCCAATGTTCACACTATGTCCTGTTTTCACTAAGACATATGATTTTGCTCAGGATGAGCTTGAAGGAGACCCCTGTCAACTGCCAGATCTTCTTTTCTGCTCATATTAAAATCAGAGCTCGCATCTTCAAGTTATTAAATTAAATGAACAATATATCAGCTGCATACAAGCTCGTTCATGTAGCTAGGATTTGCGAAGTATCAGATCAATACGCGGTACCTCCACAGTCCTGCTCTCACCTGGAAGATCTTTTTCTCTCCTTTGTTCTTGATGTACTCTTTGGGAAGGAACTCCTTTAAACTGAGGAGGAGAGAGTTAAACTAAAATCCAACAAGCATAAGGACCATTTCTAGAAGCCCATTGAAAACAGAAATATCAAATTATCATACATGGAAGCAAAAGAAAACTGAGAATGAATATGAAGGCAGTGCTTACTCTAAGAATCCAGCCTTGTGTTTGGACTCGTTGTGGTCACCGAACTGAATCTGGCACTGATATCCTGCGAACTCACAGGCCTTGTCAAAGGAGACAGGGTGGGATCCGTTCAGAATGTCATCGCGGGCCTGTACACGCATACACACACACACACACACACACACACACACACCATCCAATATCAATGATGGGAACAACTGAAAAATACTTTTATGGTGACTTCATCAAAAACAGCCATGGAGAATAGCTGCTTCTGATTGGCTGGAGGCTGTGACAACTTTACAGTGCAGCATGCTCAGAGTTCTAAGCTAATACTCATATGAATATGAGTAGCCCGTGTACCTGCACGTAGAGCAGGTTGAGCTGGACGGGGTCTCTGGAGTCCACGTTCTGGTCTGAGTAGAAGAACTTCCTCCTGAGTAGCAACATCTCTGTCTCCTCCACGCCCTGCTCCCTCAGCGTCCTGCCATGGTCCAACCAGTTCACTGACAAAAAAAAACACCAACCAAATATAAACCGACTTAGGAAAGGAAAGGACTTAGCAACTTTGGTCTTGTGCTGTTCAAACTATCGCTTCCAGATTGAGACAACATTCACACTGTAGTTTCAGTGTTTCAGTGTCACAAAGCAGGGAAAGTGACAAACATACAGTGCCTTGCGAAAGTATTCGGCCCCCTTGAACTTTGCGACCTTTTGCCACATTTCAGGCTTCAAACATAAAGGTATAAAACTGTAATTTTTTGTGAAGAATCAACAACAAGTGGGACACAATCATGAAGTGGAACGAAATTTATTGGATATTTCAAACTTTTTTAACAAATAAAAAACTGAATAATTGGGCGTGCAAAATTATTCAGCCCCTTTACTTTCAGTGCAGCAAACTCTCTCCAGAAGTTCAGTGAGGATCTCTGAATGATCCAATGTTGACCTAAATGACTAATGATGATAAATAGAATCCACCTGTGTGTAATCAAGTCTCCGTATAAATGCACCTGCACTGTGATAGTCTCAGAGGTCCGTTTAAAGCGCAGAGAGCATCATGAAGAACAAGGAACACACCAGGCAGGTCCGAGATACTGTTGTGGAGAAGTTTAAAGCCGGATTTGGATACAAAAAGATTTCCCAAGCTTTAAACATCCCAAGGAGCACTGTGCAAGTGATAATATTGAAATGGAAGGAGTATCAGACCACTGCAAATCTACCAAGACCTGGCCGTCCCTCTAAACTTTCAGCTCATACAAGGAGAAGACTGATCAGAGATGCAGCCAAGAGGCCCATGATCACTCTGGATGAACTGCAGAGATCTACAGCTGAGGTGGGAGACTCTGTCCATAGGACAACAATCAGTCGTATACTGCACAAATCTGGCCTTTATGGAAGAGTGGCAAGAAGAAAGCCATTTCTTAAAGATATCCATAAAAAGTGTCGTTTAAAGTTTGCCACAAGCCACCTGGGAGACGCACCAAACATGTGGAAGAAGGTGCTCTGGTCAGATGAAACCAAAATCGAACTTTTTGGCAACAATGCAAAACGTTATGTTTGGCGTAAAAGCAACACAGCTCATCACCTTGAACACACCATCCCCACTGTCAAACATGGTGGTGGCAGCATCATGGTTTGGGCCTGCTTTTCTTCAGCAGGGACAGGGAAGATGGTTAAAATTGATGGGAAGATGGATGGAGCCAAATACAGGACCATTTTGGAAGGAAACCTGATGGAGTCTGCAAAAGACCTGAGACTGGGACGGAGATTTGTCTTCCAACAAGACAATGATCCAAAACATAAAGCAAAATCTACAATGGAATGGTTCACAAATAAACATATCCAGGTGTTAGAATGGCCAAGTCAAAGTCCAGACCTGAATCCAATTGAGAATCTGTGGAAAGAACTGAAAACTGCTGTTCACAAACGCTCTCTATCCAACCTCACTGAGCTCGAGCTGTTTTGCAAGGAGGAATGGGCAAAAATTTCCGTCTCTCGATGTGCAAAACTGATAGAGACATACCCCAAGCGACTTACAGCTGTAATCGCAGCAAAAGGTGGCGCTACAAAGTATTAACTTAAGGGGGCTGAATAAATTTGCATGCCCGATTTTTCAGTTTTTTATTTGTTAAAAACGTTTGAAATATCCAATAAATTTCGTTCCACTTCATGATTGTGTCCCACTTGTTGTTGATTCTTCACAAAAAATTACAGTTTTATATCTTTATGTTTGAAGCCTGAAATGTGGCAAAAGGTCGCAAAGTTCAAGGGGGCCGAATACTTTCGCAAGGCACTGTAGTAAGTGACCAAGAAGATGGTATTGTATCAGTACAATATTACAGGGACTGTTTGTATTGTATATGGAAAACATCCTCTACTATTATTTATTTTGCTGACACACTGTGCGGTCACAATAAAAAAAGCTGCCAGCGCATAATATATTCACACTGTTACAAAGCAGTATCGTCCTACACAAATGAAGACTCCTCCCTCCCAGTGAAACCACAACACTCATAATCACGTTTAAAAAATGAGCATAAAGGTTTGTGTTTGTCATACACTCATCATCTGTGTGGAGCTTCTGCTTCAGCTTCTCCATCTTCTTGTCGTCCCTCAGCAGAGTCTTGTCTCTCTTCAGCGTACCTGTGATCTCCTCCTTTTTCTCTTCACCGATGTCACGCACCAGCGAGTACTCATCGTAGTTTGTAATGCCTGAAGCACAAACAAATGGATTCACTATACATTTGAGACTGTAGTACAAGCACAGGGTGAGGACCGCTTAGGTTAAGGGCTGCTTTCACTATACATTAAAAACAGTCATTAAGCAGCAGGGTCAACATATGTGCTGGAGGTGAGTGACATCCAGACAGAAATCAGTAAAGGAGTAGAAACCATTTCACCCGCACCTATTCTAGCACAAATGGTCATCAGCATGTCGCTGACAATCTTGGAGTCGTCCACCATGACGGTCTTCACTGTGCCGTCCAGCATGCGGATCTTCAGAGGCCTCTGTTTCTTCTTGTACTCCAAAGTGTCCTGAAAGAGACAAGGCAGTATTCCTGGATGTCAAAATGCCTGAAACCTTTTCAGGATTGATTATAAATATTCTGAAATCCCTTGAACAAACCACAACTGACTGTTCAAATCTCCTCCAAAGAAGATGTCGTGGAGAGTTAAAGGGCATTGTTCTAATGGTGGCACAGCTCTGTATTCTAATCTAGTTAAGTGCACAGGTAGAAAGGAACAAACAGAAATGAGTTTTGTTAACTGAGACAGCACGAATACAGTCGTTGGTATGTTAGTGAATGAATGGGGGGATTTAATAAGTAGTACAGATGCTACCTTTGATGCACACAGAGTATGCATCCTCTCTATTTGCCTCCCTTCTATTTGTCTCTGTATGGAAGGTTGTTACGTCTGGGAGGCTATCCATTACCTGCCCCCCTCTGCCCCTGGACAGTAACCCACCACAGAACATAAAAAGACTACCTCTGCTGTTTGCACAAACGCAATACATTCCCCCCTTTTTGTCATATTATATATAAATCTGCTGCTGACTGTTTAACATCATATCTGCTGCTGTTGGTCACTTGCACTGCTGTCCATGTGCATTTCATAAGCTATTATGAATCTCATCACCAACACCCCTGGTGATGCTGACCACCTGACAATCTTCTTAATATTTGCACTACTGTCACCATTTGCACATGGTTTTGAGTTTCTTCATAGCTTATTAGGTTGTACTATTTAGTTTATCCTAAATTACTTTAATTCAGTTTTCATATTCTATTTATTCTGTGTTTATTCTACTTCTATCCTATTTTAGTTTCTTAAATGGTATGGACATTCAACATTAGGTGAGAGAGCAACAGTATTTCGATTTTTCTGTATGTCCTGCACATATAGTGAATTGACAATAAAAATGTTTGATCTTGATCTTATGTGCTATGTATTTGTAGCAGTTAGTGGTGTTTGAGTGTGTGCCAGTGACTCACCCCATTCCTCAACATGTAGTAGTCCAGGGCCTTTCCTGCCTCCAACCAGATGCCTTTCTTTGGGTCTTCATCAGACAGAAACAGCCCATAGTCATTGGCTGTGGAAGCAAACAGAAATATTGACTGAATCACTGGAAGTGTGTTCCTTGACATACATGACCATGTGGACATGTAGCTATTATTAGCCCTTTTTTAGACAGAGATCCACGCGCGCGCACACACGCACACACACACACACACACACACACACACACACACACACACACACACATATATGCATACACATACACACACATACATACAAAAACACACACATATACACATACTGCCGTTACGATGACCTTTCGTTACGATGGCTTTGCTTACTTGCACTAGACAGCTGCTGAAATCCCTGTAATAGAGCTGTGACATTTACCGTGACATCCGGCATGATGTAGAACACATGCATCAAAATACAAAGCATACCGGTGTTGCTTTCAAAACAATGGCGTGTAATGGGAGTATTGATGAGCCTTTTCGACTGTGGTGCTGTGCAGCGTGTACAACATACTAATGATTATGGTCACAGATGTAAATTCATGTGAAGAATGTGTTTGTACACAAACAATAATGAAAGTCACTTTCGGCTTTTTCCCATTTAGGGGTCGCCACAGCGAATCGTCAGTGGCGACTCGCATGTTGACATTTGACATGTGTTTTACGCTGGATGCCCTTCCTGACGCAACCCTGACTCGAACCTGGGCTGCAGCAGCAAGAGCGCTGCGCCTTAACCACTAGCCTATCAGGGACACAAACAACAACAACAACAACAACAACAATAAAATGAGACAGGTGAGGTGAGTCACAGAAATAACACACCTCTCCTTTTACACAGACCTCTAGTAGGGAATAATACAGCAATTCCACTACCTCCACTGCCAGTAACATGCAGGGTCAACCATTCCAGGTTGTACCTTTTATACAGAACAGCCAAATGCTGTGAAACAGGAGAACTGGATCTATTACTGCAATGTGCTGCACAGTTGAATTAGACAGAGATACTCGCTTAAACTATTTTCTTTCTAAATGCAAAAGTGCATACAGGTTGGAACAAGTAACACAAACAGCTGCTGCTGAAACAGCCTTCATAAAAAGCCATAACTCAGCCTGCATGAATGCCAGCTGATATGCAGCAGAAGGCTATTCTCAGTTTACAGACAGTTTTCAAGTGCACTTATTCGGCAGAGCCTATAATCAACTAGATAAAGGTTGTGAGGCCAGAAATAGTCCCTTGCTTTCCACTCCCTGGGGTTGTTTCAGACTAATTCTCTGGAAAATCGATGCGTTTTGAAATGATGGACACTTTTTGGGCCGTAGACAATTTATGAAGTTAACTGGTTTTTGCTGTTCTTAATCATTCAGTTATGTGTGAAGACAAGCGCTCTTTATGCTACATGGTTCCTCTTATACAACCACTGTATATGTGCTTGCTTACTATAAACCGAGCCACTGGTAAAAACTTGTAATCCTCATACTGGCCTAGATCAGGGCTCATTATTATGCACAGTAATATCACTCCAGAGATCCAAAACATTAAATGCTTAAAAATCCCCTCCAGACACATTTTTAAGTATATACACATATTATGCTTTTAAGAATAATGTGTCTCATATGATTTTTTTTTTTACATTTAAAAAGTCCGGTTACCTGGTTAGAGGTAACAGCTGTACCTGCTCCCTCACTGAAAACTCCAGAATCTAGGACTATGCAAAAGCTTTTCATTTCAAAACCCTGCTAGATACAGGATGTCTCCTACATCACCAAAAGACCATTCAATGTACAATATGTACAGTGCAGGCCTCAGGTGCCCACATCACACCTGTGTAAGCCGTTTATTGGAGCAGAACTGGCTCCTAATCTGGTTGTGATGTCATAGGGTTATGGTTAGGTGTTAGGGTTAGGTTTGTTTGCAAGTACAAGCCTTCAACTCTGATTTTAGAAAATCCTTTCACTTTTGGCAGATTCATTTAAACACATACAGTCTGCACAGCGAAGTTCACACACCCAAGAGAAGTAGAGAAAAATTTAGATCATGGACACAAAATGATCCAGTAAAGGCTGCAATAGATTGTGTTTATTCTATGCAACAAACAAAAGCTGCTGCATGGTGCGAAATGAGGGGGAAAAAAAAGAAAGAAAAAAGTATCTAAAAAATGCACATTTAAAAAGAGCCTCCAATCTATTATTGTAAGGCCGGGCAAAGCAAGTGACCAAAGTAACCAGTGTTTTCAGTGGCTATAAAAAGCACGCCATCCTACCTCAGAAAGCATAGCATGCGTGCTACATCATACCTAAAGATAACATCACCACCATAATCAGTTTCCACGTCCACAGTGTGCATTTATTTTAGTGGCTCACTTCCAGCCACTAAATAATTTTTCTGATGAAAAGCCATTAACAGCATGACTTCAAAGACTAGCCCAATCAGCCAAAATCTAAATGTTTTAGCGTTCCTCCAGGAAACTGGTGAGAAGAGCTGGGTGACAGTGTACAGAACCACAGTGTATGAGAGTCTATCTGGGCTTCAGCTGACATGATTTAGCTTTGATTATACAGCCAGCTCCTGTAGTGATGGTGTCAGATCAGTCTGACTGATCAAATCAACACAGACATATGGACCTTAATGCAGGGGTCCAGCTGTTCACTGATAAACCTTTGATTCATTTCAACTCCATGCAGGCTGGAGTTGAGTAAAACATGTTGTGAGGACACTTTAAAAAAGCAAGATTAGCTGTGAAGTCTGGACCTTTTTTTTTATAACATAAAAACAGATCATAAAAAACTGACAATACCTTAGCCCACTTTCAATACTTTAGATGACAGCATGCTATGAACCACCCTGTGGTGCACTAGGATTTTATTTCTAAACAAACACTTTTCATTTCTTTAACAGTTTGGAACTCTAATATATTTAAGCATTACACTGTACCGGTAATGGCTGCATATACAAGTGTTGAGGTTTGCTGTAGCTAACATGCACCTAATCAAAAATACAAGTGCAGGTCAGAGGTACGGTGGTGACTGAAGCTCTGCAGGGGTACAGCAAGAACTGTGATTGGCTGCTTCTGTTGTTCTGATGCCCATAGAGATTGCTGAGTGAGGACAATAAAGAAGACTGTTTTTAATTTCTCAGTAACAAATATCTAATTAGAAACCTGTTCACTGCCATCACTGCTCTATATGGATGAATGAAATACACTTTATAAGGTAGTCTCCAATTCAGTAAGGACATGTAGAGAAATAAAGTTCTGTACAGGCTACACATTTACTGTAGAGGACATTATTAAAGCACAATACACCATAATCATGTGCAATAGCATTTCAGTGGTGACATGATCAAAACCTACAGTGTAGGAATTTACTGCAGGACTCACTACGGGGGTGAGTAAAAGCTGTAATTCATATGACGTTCATACAGCCTTCAATTTCTGATGAGGTCAGAAGGCAAAGGTCTTTACAGTTGTTCCAAACAGCCACACTCAAAGAGGGGGCGGAAAGCCGACTGTCAAAGAGAGGAGGGAGAAGTACGGTATGGTAATAATGCTACACCTTTTCTGTCTGTCTTGAAAGATATTGAGAGTGGTTTACATGAAAAGTGGCAAATAGTGGCGCTAAGGATGAAAAAGAGAGCTGCTTTAAACCCTGGTTCCTCTTTCACTTCAGCATGCCTGGCCAATCACAGAGTGAAGCGGGTGTCAATGTTGCACATGATGGTGATGGTTCTGTAAAAGTCCCAGAAATCGTCAGATACAGTTTCTGCCTGCGGTTTTGTGGTGAAAAGCACTTCTGTCATTGAGTCTGTACTGCAAATCTGTTATGTATCCTGTACACACACATGACATCTATTGTATATGTGTTTGTTTGTCCTGGAAGAAGGATCCCTCCTCTTTGGCTCCTCCTGAGATTTCTTACATTTTTTCCCCCAATTAAAGGATTTTTGGGGGGAGTTTTTCCCTTGAGGGTCTAAGGACACAGGGTGCCATAAACTGTACAGATTGTAAAGACCCTTGAGGCAAATCTGTTACCTATGATATTGGACTATACACCAATCAGCCATAACATTATGGCCAGCTGCCTAACACTGTGTACACAGGAGTCAATGCAGCAGTCGGTTGGCGCCCATGTCACTCTGCGGCTCACTGTGCATCTTCTGTTTGCTTCTACAGGAAGAGCACAGATGCACCTACAACTCAGTGACAAACTTATGTAAAGGGGTGGAAACTGTGGTTGTGAGGAAAAGTTAGAGATTATTATTTTAGCTAGATTGAACAGCACTGGGGAAAATACTATTACCCTATTTTTGGGTATTGCGGTTTTAATGCTTTGTTGCCTTTATGTAACTGTTTTATTTTAAGACTAAGTGTTTTTCTGGCTTTTGGCTCCTTACCTGACTCTAAAGAACAGCTGCACAAGAATTCCTGTATGCCTAGACTGTCTGTTTATGCATAAATGGCAAATAATCTTGACTTAAGCATCCCCACTCTAGGTGTGATATCACCATGATAGCTGCTAAATGTTTCTCTTCACAAAGACCAATGAACAGTATTTCTCATTTGCAATAATTTTAACAAAGATTAAAACAAAATGAAATGTTTTGAAAAGTGTTAAATTAAATTTAAAAGTTTAATCTCTGGATCAACCTCATTATCAGTGAGCCTGGGGTATCCATGACCCTGTCACCAGTTCACTGTTTGTCCTTGCTTTAACCACTGCAGAGAGAGTGGCGATATTGACGCTTGGCAACCTAGGACATGTTCACAAGTTGACTGTTATCGGGTTGCAATGTGCACAAGACAGCTAAACAGTTGGTGAAATTCTGCTCCATTGCGGCAGTAGGTGGTGCAGACGCCGTTTCCTTTACCCATGAAATGTTACAATGCACATGCTGCCTCTGTAGAAATTTGAGTCCTCTTAATGTTGATGTTATTTGGGGATTCAAATAAAGTATCTAAACTGTGTGTGTGTGTGTGTGTGTGTGTGTGTGTGGGGAGAGAGAAAACCAGAACTCACGCTGGCCGAGCTGTGCCTCAGGAACTCTCTCCCTAATGATGCGGCATGCGTCGTACACCACGGTGGAGGGCTCAAACTGCATGGTCTTCACCACGTTCCCCACGCTGATCTTTAGTGACAGGGCCACCATGATTGCTGCTCTGCACCTCCGCCCAAGTCACACCTACAGGAAAGTAGTTAGTCAAGATGAGTCAATCACTTTTGTGTATCCCAATATCATATACAGAGAGTCAGTCTCAAATGAGGTCTGCTAAAAGGAAGTACAGCACAGCAGTTCTTGCAAACCCATTTTTTCTTAAATGTCTCAATACAGTGTGGAAATGGGTTTAGAAAGAGGAACACCAATTATATTTACATGCACACAAGAAACCAGAGCACCATGAGAAACACAGTTCTGATAAAAAAACAGACATATCTAGTTGGTCATTAAGCTCACTTACCTATTAATCTCTGTTCTGTGTTGCAGTGCTACTGCCACCATTTAAGAGTATAGACTTTGTAATGTACTATGTGACCCATCCCTAAACATCCGCAATTTGATCCAACTAGAATTAATGCGCTGTGGTTGTAAGCCAACCTGTCAAATTCACAAATTCATGAGAAAGTGACAGACACAAAGTCACTGTGAGCTTGGCCTTTGACCACCAAACTAAAACAGTTCATCCTTGAATCCAAATAAGTGTTCCTGAGATATGGTGTTCATGAGAATGCGCTGAACTTCCATCTATCCATTTTCCTCCGCTTATCCGGGACCGAGTCGCGGGGGCAGCAGTCTAAGCAAAGATGCCCAGACTTCCCTCTCTCCAGAAACTTCCTCCAGCTCCTCCAGGGGAATGCCAAATAGCTACAGTCAAAATGAAAACTTTACCACAAATTAACTACCTGTTTTCGATGCTTCCCACAGCACCCACAGATAAGTGGTTCAAATCACTCAATTCTCTAACTTCACAATTTTACTGGAATAACAAGAAACCCAAAATTTCCCTGTCAATACTTCAGAAGAACAAATCACAAGGTGGCCTAGAAGCACCAAATTTTGAGTATTATTTCTTAGCAAATCAACTACAATATTTAGTTCAATGGATTCAGAAGGACAGTTGTAAAAGCTCATGGATAGAACTAGAACAAAATAAATGCCAAAATACTTCAGTTGCAGACCTTTCCTTCCTACCATACTCAATTAAGAAAATGAACTATTTCAAAAATGTCACAATCTCTGCAACTCTGACAGCCTGGTGGAAAGCAAACAAAACCACTAAATCATTAGTAACACCCTGACTTTCAACTTCATAATAATCCCATCTACTTTCCAACATGGCAACACAAAGGAATCACTCACCTTCATCATTTATTTGAAAACAACCAGTTTATACAATTTAATACATTAGTCCAGAAGTATGGAGTTGGGAGAGGAGAATTTCTCCAGTACCAACAGTTAAAATCCATAATTAAATTAAATATCAATATAATCAACAACCCCCTGCAACCTTCCATGCTAGCTGAGGAGATAATGAAGTTTACAGACTCAAAGAAGATATCTAAACCTTATAAACTAAATGTCAAATATAGATACAACAGTAACAATACCAATGACTAAATGGGAAAAGGATTTGTTGCTCCCCACCAGCTTCAACTTCTGGACTGGGATCTGTAATAATATCTCCTCCATGACTACCAATATAAACTTACAGCTTACGTATACAATAGAAGACCATTCACAGGACTCATATCACAGAAGGTAAAATGCTTAAAATGGGTTTCATACTGACACAGATACTTGTTCACAGTGCACTCTGGGTTGCACCAATGATTACTTCCATGCTACTTGGACCTGTCAATC